AATATGTGAGCTCGGCAACTACGCCGACCGTGAAGCAAAATTCAGTAGAAACTACAGTGGCTGTTACTCTAAAAGATTCCACCTTAAATAAATTGGAAAAATTAAAATATTTTAATAGCACTGAATACATCGAATTGATTAATATGGAATCGGCTGCTATAGCATTTTTATGTGGCTATCTTATAAAGAAAGCAAATCAATTTGTAAGCTGCAATTTATGTTTTTCAACATTACAAGATCTTAATCCCCAAGTAWACTGCCCGTTATTGGAATTAATATACCACCAAGATCGTGGAAGATTAATCTACCCAAACAAAAAATTTGTGAGTTTAATAGTGTTTGTTGTAGAAATTATTATTGAACTATTACCAAGTCTGCCAACTGAAGATGTGTCGTTTAATTTAAGGAACATTTTATTATCCTATCTGTACGGCAATCCAATTTTTTGTTGCGAATCCCATTCTAAAATTTTGTGTACCATAATTTTAGATAAGCTTATAACACCAATTGTTTCTAACTTTTGTAGCAGACATGCTCATACAATTGTGAAAAACTTAAATATTCAAACAAAAAAAAGAAAACTCTTAAAATTAAATTGATAACACTAAGAAAGTTGCTTTATTATAAATAAAAGTTAATTTATAGGTTTATTTTATCGAATGGTAAGTGCTTACTGGGATCCTTACTTTTGTTCATCATTAATTTTTAATTTAAACCTGGTCAAGATTTTTTTTTTTTTGAAATTTCAAACTGAATCAGGCAACCAACCATGCACCGTATGTCAGCGCCATCAAACGTCAAAATTATTGCCACGCGCGAGGCCGGATAGACGAAAGTCTATCTTTTTATCAAGGAGGCCGTGATCGACAGTAACGGTGCCATGACCAAGTATTAGTCGCTTTGATATGTCTCTAGTTGTCAAACTTGTCAACCTATTGTGATACAGTCGTAAAGAAACGATGCAAATTTGTGAAAACAGAAGTTACTTACGAATATCGCAAAGATAAAATTTATCTATTGTTAAATTGTTCTAGAAACCGAGCATACATCTTTTATAAAATTATTAATAACAAATTTTTCAGTCGTTAAATTTACCTACTCATAAACGTATCTAAATAAAGAATTATTGCATTTATTTTCGCAAGTCTATTAAAAAGTGTGTAAAGGTAGTAAACAAAATTATCTTGGCAGAAATTTAAATTACACAAAATTCTTGTAATAAATGACAACTCTGCAATAATTCAATAAGTTGAAGTTGATCCACTAAAAAGTAGGCCAAATCCCCTCAACAATAATGCCGGGATATGTGATAGAAAATTGATAGATAGGAAGAAGTAGACAATGTTACTAAATTAAAATAAGGATATAAGCAGAAATATTAATTCGATAAAAACTTTGAATATGTGAAACAGACTGCAATGCAGCTACCATGTTTTAGTCGATAGTTCGAACCTTTCATGTTCGAAATTTTAGCAAACAATCTAATTAACTGACAACAAAAAAATTTTACTAAAAAAAAATCTGCATTTTGTACAAAATATGTGTACAGAATGGTGCATTTTGGATGTCCGAATAGGGAATCAACGAAACTAAGAGGTTTAGCCAAAAACGAGTAATACATTCTGGGACTCTTTTTTTTGGGGAAATAATATTGGTTAAAACCGCAACCCGCTATAGTCTTTTGTTTTCAACTTATAGACAAAAATTGGCATTTTAGCGAAATCTAAAAAAAATACAGTCACTTTTTTACGAGGAATTTAATAATGTAGTTAAAATTTTTTTCAGTTATTGGTTTAGCCGTAATAAAATAAACTTGTATTTTTTTATATGGGAATCATAGATGGCCATGTCATTTTTAAAAAGCTTGTTTTTTTCTTATCTAAAAAAAATATAATTGTAACAAATGATTATAATACATTTTTAGTAAAAAATTATCATTGATTTTTGTTCGCAGTTGGCCATGAAAAAATGTTGTATCTTCAACTGAAAGGATTTAAACTATATTATTTAACCAGTGTCACTAATGAAAGAGTTTTCTAAGTACTAATTAATGAAAAAAATGCAAAATAAATAGTAAATCAACCTATTGGCGACTAATAACATTTCTTTGTTTTTAAATAAGCTAACATTACCATTGTAACTTCTAGTTATACATAAGAGTGTGTAAAAAAAAGTCGCTTTAATTCTTCAATAAAATATATTTTGTATGACACAAAAATGACGATATGGCTGTTCAAACACCCAAATTCCGTCTATGTGGAACGTTATCCTACCTCTTATTAGATCATCAAAAATATGCTTTTTTCTAATTGTGTTGACTGTTGACACACTTGTTTTTCCTATTTTTGGATTTTTTAAAATGAAATATGTAATAATAATAATTTTGTTCTGAGGCGCTCGCATATTTGTTCAATACTTCTAACATATCGTATTTTTTAAATTTTTCCAATTTTATCTATTTTTTCATCTATTTTACAGTTTACAAAACTCTTATTGATTATTATTTACATATTTGAAGTGAAATAGTTTTTCCATGGCCAACAATTATCAAACAAAATATCTATTTCACTTTTTAAGTATATGTAATTATAAAACAATATTCTGTTACAAATATATATTTTTAGATCAGAAAAAAATAAGCTATTCAAAATTGCCAGAGCCACCTATGATTTCCATTTAAAAAAATAAAAGTTTATCTTATTACGGCTAAACCAATCACTGAAAAAAAAAGTTAACTACATTATTACATTCTACGTAAAAAAGTGCCTGTATAATGTCTTTATTTCCAATCCGTGTCCTCTATAATAACGAAGATATGAATTTTTTTAGATATCGCCAAAATGTCAACTTTTGTCTGTAAGTCGGAAACAAAAGACGATAGCGTTATGCGGTTTTAACCAATATTATTTTCTCAAAAAATGAGCTCCAGAATGTATTACTCGTTTTTGGCTAAACATCTTAGTTTCGGAGATTCTCTATTCGGACATCCAAAATGCAGCACCCTGTACATGTCATGCCACAGCCATCGCCACTACTGTCACTTTTCACGATGTTTTTTCTGTATGAAATAGTGGAACCTTCTAGCTCAACATTTGTCAGTAGGGTTCAATTGTAACACAAATTATTCTTTTATATGTTTCTGACATATTTCACCTCAAAAAATGCAGTTGCGACGTTGCCAAGATGGCGATGGCTATGGCACAGTTAATAATTTCATCAATACCTAGATTGTGAAATTAGAAAAAATATGTAAGTTAAAAAAAAAAAACGTTATGAAATCCAAGTAAGAAACATTGTCCATAATAATTAGGCTCTGGTGTCTGACTGACTGTAAGAAATCGACTTCCCATATAAAATTGAATAGGAAATTAACATAGGAAATTAGTTTTTATTTTTTTTCCGGCTGCAGGAGTAACAGAAATCAAAATC